ATGAAATATCTGCGAGCATTTATATGGCGTACGAAAAGCAAAATAGTTGTAGGCAATACTTACTGGCAGTGTGGGCTGGAGGTCAAGGCCGCGGTCTGCTCCTTCCAAGGATAATGCATAACCTTGGCGGTCGGACCTCTGGTCACTTGAGCGAGACGACGAAGGTCCGGAATTCTTGTAGAAGGAGAAGCATTGGAAATAAAAATGTGTCTTATCCCGGTAGTTTCCAAACCCTTTTTATATGAATTAGCGCACCTATTACAATGCGCATTCAAAAGACTAGCTTTGAGGTAAAAATGAAGGCTAGATTTAATTCTTCAAAACATCTCATCATTAGGAAGGACGGTTTCTGAGTGAATATTCCAAACAAACAACATATTACACTCACGTTTAGGTTTTGGAATATTTGCTCCACGTCCGACTTCAGCTTACGAAGATCGTCGCCAATGGTGGCTATGGCTTGATAAGATTCTTTGGGAATTTTAGCGTGTTGCATAATGTCTTCCCAAAACCGCACGTCAACTTCCATTCGCATGAGGGTCATGGAGGCCTCATTTACCAGGTCTTGTGGTTCCGCCTGAAACGCGTGACCAATGCGCTGTAAATTGCCTTCAAATAGAACACGCTGTGGGTGAAAAATAGAGTTACTAGGATAGGTTCGCCTAACATTCACTTTACCCAACTATTTTACGCCGGTTGCAGACGATACAACCGGGAGTTACTTTTGTAGATTAACTCATTTTCTCGGATAAAACCTTTAAGAGGTAAAATATGTGAGAGATTATTTAACGAAGGCTTTGTATGCGATGTTTAAAACGTTTCACAATGTCCTCCTTCTATGGATTACGATCACTTAAACGTTCATTCCTTCAACTAACAGCCGCGTCTCTCAATCGCTGCTAACAATATTAATTACCTGGCTGGATGGCCAATAAGATCAAGTAAACCCTCCCCCATCCCAGTTAACGCAGTCAACTTCTCCGTTCACGAGGGATCACCAACGTGATCATAATGTTTGATAAAACCTTTGGCCAAATTAAATGAGGAAGATCAACCTTTTAAAAATCAACAGAGGCTTGGTGAAAAGACATTTCCGAGATTTCTGCCTTTATTGTGTGACTGAGTATGCCATTTCATCGGTAGTGTTCCTATGTTGTGGTCAGTAACACCCAAGCATCGAAGCCTTCTTGTCAGCCGACTGCGTGAACATTTTTCGGAACTAAAGGTTCACCTGCAATCCAACCTGAAATACCTACAGGTTGGAATTCGTTTGGATTGCCTCGGTTAGTTATAAAGCCAACTGCAGACTGAACGTAGGTATCATAAGATAAAGAACCATTTTATTGCTAATGTCAGAAGGAATTAGATTAACTTTATAACGTAATCTTTTATATTTACCAACTGATAACCTGATAACATACAATTTCTTTGTGGTCAGGTTATAGTTTGCGAATACGAAGGGTGGCTGATATTCTTGCTGAGTAGTGCGCAACGCGTTGCAGTTTTGAGGAAAAAGGCAACAGTGGGGTGCAAGGGCTGCGGAACATGGGCGCAAGACGGCCTGTTGCGCTCCAAAATAACAAGTCACCTGGACAGTCGGAGCGCAGAACAGTGTGAGCTGAGAGAGAAGTTGGTGGTCAACTGTTAATGCAAAGCTAAGTACAAGCCAAACAGTTGGCGTATGAAGGAATTGGTTATTTTCCATTGACTACCAGTAATGGCAAAAATAGAGACTTTCTTTGCTTTCATGATAAAAAGGACCCTGTGAGGCTAGACGTGGCTTGGCGTCCGCGTGTATTCTTCCCGTAGATGGCCCAGCTCATGAAATCGCCCGCACTCAGCAATAACACGCCTCTTGAGCTAAGGGAGTCCAAAGTGCGTCCCCCAGTGTCTCCTTCTTTCACTTACTGATTTTCATGAAAGTAAAATTGGATTTTGCGCTGTACGAAACTATTTAGTGAAAACCCGTCTGGCTAAGTTTTACGTTTATTCATAGTTTACAAAGTAGGTTTTGATCTGCAGCGTTCGGGTTCTAACCATTTCTGCCCATTTTTCACAAAATAGCCTGATTTTAACTGATTTGTTTTTTTTTAATGATTAACCCTTGGTGCGTAAGAACAATCAAATAAACAAAAATAGCAACCTTAAATGTATGTAAGCCTGCCCTCTCAAAGTTAAATTATCTTTTTTCATGAATAAACCAATCTACTGCATGGTGCTTAGGCCCAGAAATCTAATATACTCTGCAAAAGATGCAGTAGACACCCGTTTAGGGTATGTAAATAACGCTTAATTTTTGGCAGTTATCTTGGTGGAATGAAAAGGCCCACTCTATCATAGTAGAAAATTTGAAAACAGATAGCTTTGAAAAATAACGTACGGACTTACCTGAACACGGTTGATGCTCGAATGTTCAGGATAAGCGCAGAGGAAGTTCAGATGGTAAAAGGATTTATTTCCGCAGGACAAAAGTTCTTTCCCAACCCTGACCAGATCGTACGGGGTGGAATCTAACGCCTCGTTCACCTGCAAAATAAAAGGATACGTAGGCAGGTATCGAGGGCATTATAGCTCAGAGAAAACAAAGCAAAATCGTAAGTGTGCTTTGAAAAAGCAATTATTACTTATGTGTGACTGTAATGGTGATTGATACCGAGCAGGCCATGAGAAACAACCCTACAAACTAAGGTCTGTGAGTGGTCGGAGGCAATGCCATCAAACGAGATACACAGTGTTGCATAGTTCGATGTTCATGTCACAGACGTAACCCCCTAAATCGACATGTTCATTGAGGCACACCTTGCCCGAGGGCATTACTTCAAGGAACGCAAAGCCTTTTAGGCCTGGGAAGCATTATTCTAGAGGCACCCCGATCACGTGTCTGTCACCTCGCGCAAGGATTTCGACCTCGCAAAATTTGAAAATATGGCCGGATCTGATCTGAGCGTTGATTCGAACACCAAGGTTACCTCGCCAACACAATTCTTGGAAAAACTTGAAACGACTACGGGCTATAATTCATCCATGTTTTTTTCTACTTTGCATGGCCTGACAATCGAGACCATCAAATTACTCCTATAAGCCAAATACAGTAAAACAAGTTATCAACCAGTTATCAATACGAAGTTACAGTAAGCTACGGTTTCTAGCCATGTTTCATGGTCTGTTATTCGTCTATGATTGATCTAGGATGCTTTCATGAAGTCCTTCTCCTTCACTCCGTGAGAATAATGGCACAGAAACTGGTAAGGGTGAAGGAATCGATGTGCTAAATTATCTTAAGCAGGCATGCATGTACGGTTTGGCTGACGTTTTGTTCAGCAATAGTTTTGAACAATCTGCAATGGGCTACGATGGAAAAAAACTTCAGAGCATCAAAATGATTTTGCAGTTGACTAATCCCAAACCGTTACCAGTGGCTCCTTCATTTCGCTCAACCAAAAAAATACGATCGTCAAAGAACCTACTATAGTTCGGTTCGGAAACCAGTGGAGGTTAACCGGCTGCAGGACGGACTGTTCACCACCATAATAAACATCCTCATAAATCTTCTTGAATGCAGACTCAGGGAAAAATTCTTTGTATTGTTCATGCCAGGCCTTAAAGGATTGAAGATAACGCGAAAAATACCTTCAACAACGTAAACAACTTCAGACGTACGACTCCATCACACTGGGTACTGTAACTCTGATCAGTCAGCACTTTACGAAATGGGCTCAAAACCGCTTGATCGTTTAATGTCACTATAAACTTGTCTGTACAATGAACTGCGCACATTTGAAGAATATTTAGCAACCAATGGGCCATTCGCTGGTCTTTGGAGCCTTCCTCTTTAAAGCAGTTGATAATGAGTTCTATGCTCTGCCGTATGTCATGCGATACGGCTTGAAGCATGTAATCTCTGATCCTCGCGAACCACAGAAGTCGGTCTGGATTTTCATCTTGGAGTGCACCATCTATTTAAAAAAAAGAAAAGTTAAGTTGAACATACATAACGACAAGAAATCCACAAATCCTACAGGTTTAAACGTCATCTTGTATTTTTTTCTGTAATGAGTGTCTGTGTGATCAAAAACTGTGTTCTAAACCCACAAACAATAACAGTTACTTGGTTATCGCAGATGTGGTCCGCATAGAGGCTCGCGATTATGAACACCGACAATTTTTTCTTTACCTAGCGTGTCTGGCTTTAGCTTCTATAGGATGGTACAGGGGTGAGTTTTACGGCAATGTAGGCTTTTCCCACTTATTTAAAGTACCGGGAACCGACTAAGCCCACTGCCCAGGATAATTGATATAGGATATATGCAGACTGAAGCCGACACTTGCTGATGGAAAAACGGGTTGGATCTAGTTGTCCATCCTGTATACCGACTCCGTCACTATACGCTTCTGCTTATGAATTAAGTACCCTAAGCATTTATTCCTCACAAGCAGCCTTAGCCCACAACCTGCTTATTTTATAGGCTGGAAGGGAAGATAAACGGCAAACAATATGCACGGATTTGCGCATCTGATGCATGGTGTAAAAAGATAAGCAACTATATGGACTCCCTCTAGTTCAAGCTTAGAATGCGTTGATAAATTAAATATTTAATGAGAAAACCCGATAGCCCACGTTAATGGTTTTTCAGCTGCTGCACCTGATTACCTTTAAAACGCAACGGTTGAGTTGATTCCAAAGAGGAATATACTCCTCGTTTTAACAGACACACATACTTTTCATGGTTACATTTTCGTTTTCAGAAATACTTCACAATAATTGGAAAATTCTTAAATATCGCAAACATACAGTAAGAGCAACCACCGGTCGAAACAGGGCCACGCAAGCAAACGTCCTCGATTAAATATAACGGCAAATTTTAGGGAAACGTCCAGTTATCGCTATTGCGCTTACTTTCTACTCAGTCATGACTATCTTCGACTATACGCCACAGTTGATACTGTTCAGTTTGCAAAGCGTTGGTTATCCAAACCGATAATTTAGTTGTCATCATTGCTGCCGCAGTGAAACGGAATGACCGATCGATAAAGATATTTTTGTGCAGTTTGCCCCAAAATGGGTGACCTTATTCTGAGCTAGAAAAAGAACCGTACGCCATAGTTAAATTTCTTTTCAAATGAAGGCAATTATCCATCTATAATCATTGTAAACTAAATACAGATCAGCGTCCAGTCACATTTACCTGTCGTTATAAACTAAAGGGGAACATGACGAATGTCATACTGGAATCTAGAGTTTCGCGCCATTGCCATCCAACTTCATATTGCTTACGGAATTAGGGAGGGGAACTGTACGGCAAAAACATTTCCTTACTAGCACATGCCCTTCTGAAAAATCTAGATGAGTCATTGTGGGATTTGGTTGTCTCTCAACTATCACACTTTGCTAGTAACAGGAATCTAAAGATCAATTTTGCGATAGAATAGTCTATTAATGCTTTCGTTAGATATTAAGCCAGCTGTGAAATCAAAATTTGTACCTTACCTAAATCGCAAGGCCAAATCAATAAATTGATTCGCATAACTGCAATTCTACCGGCAAGCGTGTCCAGAATACGACTGTGTGTATAAAACAGGAAAGACTATATCCAAAAGTATTGGCATGATTGACAACGCACACCAGAACGAACCTTTGGTGGAGGCAGATGTATTCTCGTATAGATGTATGTTCGCTACGAGAATCAAAGCTTCCATTACGGAATTTATGGACAAAATGTAAACGTGTAAAATTTGTTTAGAGAATGGTCTGCGAGCCAAGCAGAAGGGATTGCATAATCTGCGCGAAGTCATCTAAAATAGAAAATCTCCCCGTTTCGAATTTCCTGATAGGAATACTCTAGAGCAGGGGTCGGCAACCTTTTTAACTCAGAGAGCCAAAAAAGCAAATATTTGATAATATATTTCAGAAAGAGCCATATAGTATATTTTATAATGAAATTATATTAAATGCTAGTAT